TTTCTCTCTCCGGATGCAAAGATGCGGCTTGGTAGCCAAACCCTCCGGATGTGAGCTGGTCCGAGGCACGGGACCCTATCCTGACTGCTGCTACCGAGCCGTCTGCCCATGAGCAGTAACCCGGAGCCTCAAAAACGCATCGCTGTCACCGGGATACGCAACATCAGCCGGTGGACGTTTGCGAAGAAATAAACGAGACAGAGAACAAATTTTGTTGGAATAGCCGAGTGTCCAGCCGCCATGTTCAAGTAGCCAGCCCGTACAAATGTAGTTTGGAATACTCCGGGAGCGCGAAGTGCGTTGTGCCCTCCTAGACAACAAGGCCACAGAAGGCTCGAATTTTGACATCGCCTTTTGGAAGCCCGTGCACAAGTCTATCATTTAACAGAAATGCTCAAATGCTCGATCATAGTTCGCTCGCGACTCCCGTTCGATCAATAGGAAGTCTATTGGAACACCGACGCAGCATTCCTGGCTAAATTTGTGCCCCGGCTTGGTGGCGTCAATTGGATGACGTAAAAAAAATCCCGCACCCCGCAGCCTCGCTACCTATAGGACGTATCGGTCTTACAAATATACAGAACCAAAATACGAGTAACAAGTTGAATGAGAAGACACAAAAACGTGTGGTAATATTATTAGCTCGGGTGCATGTTATGCACCTCTTTTGTACATTTTAATTTAGTCAACTGGCACCTTATAAAACGCAGCAGGGTGTGCGGAGTCCTGTGCATCTTATGATCCATTCCCAGCCAATCAGATCACGGCATTAGTCGACAAGAACGCCGACGAACCAATCACGAAGCAAGAAACCTGATCTTGGTTGGCCCGCTTTGCATTTTCTTTAAGTTCTCGTTCTCAGTGACTATAGCAAGTTTTCGAATGGCGTATACCCAAAAGCTTTGCGATGTACGCAAAAGTATTACGACGTTTGCTCGTGATCAAGCCACAACGCCGTTTGTGCTCGGCGCATGCTTATTGACGACAGCGCCACTTTTATTGCGTATGCAACGCCTTTGTGTAGGCTATTCTAAAACTCGCTATTGACGAGTTTATCACACACACATACACACACAAATGTGCGCGCGCGCACAAACACACAGCAAACGCGCTGGCAGAAACAAACGTTCGGACAGACGTAGGCAGAGAGATCTAACCGAACTCCAACGCGCGTGCTTCATCTCATTTCTCTTCCAGAAAGAAAAACAGACAGGAAGCAGGAAACAAAGGCACAAAAAAGAAAGAAAAAACGACAAAGCTCATATACATAAACGCAAACACTTGGCAGATACGCAAATATTCGCTGTTTAGAGATCTCATGAAGACAGGAAGGCGCGTGTCAAATGACGCTTTCTTTTTTTGTTTGTTTTTTTCCAGCGGATTTGCATGTGCCGCTTTCTTGGTGGGGACTGACACGGACATGGGTACGAGGACTAACGATTCCCTGACACCTGCCTATCGGAATCCAATCCGAAACCGCGCGAGTTCCAGGTGACCTTCGAAGGGGACCGCAGCGACGCGCGGGGATGCGTAGTCACGTGACAAATTCGCAGCGTTGGATTGGCTTGGCATGGCTTGTCGTACACTCGATGAAATCTGCAGCGTCCGCTTTCCTGCGAAGCACCTGGGAGAGCCAATCGCTGCATTCTACGCAGGGAGCTTGGCGAATGACGAGGTTGATAATACGCGTAGTTGTACACGTATTATCGCACGTATTATCGCTGTACACGTATTATCAACCTCCTCGTTAGCCGATCTCTCTCCCTAAATGGCAGTGATTGGCTGTCCCAGATGCTTTGCGGGAAAGTAGACACTAAATATTTTTTTCCAGTGTAGCGAAAGCTACGTTCCATCGTAAATGTGATACGGAGAATAGTGGCGCAGTTTTAATTAACAAACAATTGGGAACGCACCTTCAACCAACCACGCAAAATGTGGCATTCGTTTTTTTTTTTTTTTTAATGGGAATAATTTTGAGATTTTATCCGTCGAAGTCACATAAGAAAAATTAATGATCAATAAATGGGATACGACCGCAGCTGCATGAGGTGTTGGGCATATATAAGGGTGGAAAGGGGGGTGGGAGGGGGGGGGGAAGGAGAACGATTCTGGTTGAGCCGACCTGACAGGTACAAGCGTGCTGTTTACCTGTTATAATATTACAACGTCAATTTCTGAGCACTCTCATCGAAATATATGCGTGCCACCCTTATCGAAATAAAAATAGGAAAGAAAAAAAGTCGCTCCTTGAAATATGAAGAAGAGAAACATCCATATATAAGACTACGCATTTCGAAGCAGCTACGTATACACCTTACACGGGTCAAACAGCTTGAAGATGAGAATTCCCACGACTGACTGCTATAGTTTGGTGGCCTTCGGGTCAAAGTGTAAGATCTCACAGGCTTGCTCGCTCTTTAATAAGGTCCAGTTTCTGGGCGGGAGGCAAAAGCATCCATATTCTTCTATGCGCTTTTCCCCGAATTCTCCGTTTGAACAACCGGATTGTACTTGGGGCATCTTCTGCAATATATATACATATATGAGACTGTACCCAATGCCCAAAAGAGCGGAATAAGGAAGGGATGTTGTCCCGCTTTATGGGAGTGAATATGCTCCCTTCAATCCTAAGCTTGCAGCGTGGTGGAGGTCACGTGGTCACGCTCTCACCCGTATACTAATAGTATACCTAGAAAGAAAGAAGGCCTACGCATGGACGTTATCTTTAGTATAGTCCTGATCAGCCCCAAGCGGAAAAAACGTTCGAACTCAACGAGAGTTACCGCAAAACGGCAGACGCGTCCGTCTTTGCGTCGTCGCGTAAAAGCGTCGCGCTCGTTGTCACGGCGCTGCGAGACGCAGAGCCGCGTCGCGTGATAAAAAGGAGGTTGCTGATTGGTCCAGCGATCGCATAGCTTCCACCGCACTGACAGTTGAGGACATAAACATAGGGCAAAAAACAAGGCCTTCATGAATAACTAAAAAAAGCACTCGTGAAAAATTTGTTTCATATGAGTAATTTCTTTTTCGGCTGAACAACTTAGTATTGCGCACCACTTTATTCTTAGGACACTCCACTCCACTCTAATCTTTCATGTGCAGGTGTACTTTGAGCTTCGCCATCCGCTCGGCTGCCTCTATTGTAGCCGTGACTTTCGGTTTTCGTGTTATGCAGGAAAGTGAACGCACAAACGTTTTAGAGTTTAAAGAACCAGTGCGCTAAGCTGGAAATCTATATTAAAAAAAGTGTCCACATGTTTCATAAGAAATAAATTCCATATGTGCTGGTATTTAAGTTATTTAACTAAGCTTTCTTGTGGCTCTTTTCATTTCTTTTCCGCCCCTACGAAGCTGTGGCAGCATGGGAAATCCTTTACACTAAAAAATTTCCAAAGGAACAGGAGTCCACCCAGGCTGCTACAATGCCGCACCAACTGTTCCGAGACATCGAGACATCTCGAGAGTGTCATAAAAAAGTGTAATATAAATTAACTAAAGTATCACTGATAATATTACACGCAAAATAATCACTTGTATGACTAACAATAAACAATATTCCGTGACATTTCCTAGACGCTCTGCTTTGTTTGTATCTTTGTTGTTTTTTGTTTGTTTAATTTTCTGTTTTGAGAACTCTACACGTTATGTGCACTGGCGTCTCATATGTTCTTGAGAATTGCCCGTCGTTAAAAGTGGCACAGCATAATTCACCGGACAGATTAGGGTAACCGAGTATTATGCTGAGGGCAAATTCGTCTGCTCCTTGCAAAGGGGTCGCGATGGTGTGAAAACACCGAGCTTTTATTGGCTGATTGAAACAAATAGTGGGTATACCTCAAGGTTTTTAGCATTGAGGCGTACCCCCTATCATTTAAATCTAAGCCAATCAGAACTCGGCGTTGCTCTGACGTCACTGCAACTCCTGTGCAAGGAGAAGGCCACTTGCTCTCCGCATAGTCCCTGAGAGCCTAAGGAACGCAGGGTGCAGCCACCCCGAGCGTATTTCATCAACGCGCCGGAACCAATCAGAAAGCTGCTTCAGCTAATAAGAACACCAAAGAACGAATCAGAAAACAAGAAGCGGATCATAATAGTGGTCTATTGTGATTTCGCGTTTCTTTGTGTGTGTGTTCGTTTAAGCTGTCAGTGCGCGCAGAAATTGAGGTTCTGGTTAGAGTGATTAATTGGGTAGGCGCAAAGCTAACTGCCTATCTCTCCACTGCACTCGTTTGACGCGTTAGAACGTGAAACTCCGGCGTCCTGCCTTTGGCGTTCGCGTTCAAAAGTGTTCCAACATTGCATTTCAGACAAAAACTTTGCGTCAACCAGTAATATTTACAACTAGAGCTCGGTGTTCTGATCTCTTCGTTCTCTCCCGCCTCTTCTTTTCCCTCAATATTCAACCGCATAAAATTCCCGGATGATCAAGTTGTAGCTGCGTTCACAATAACACGAGCTGTCCTTCCATGTACATTTATTAAACAAAAATCATACAAAATCCACTATTAAACAAAAACCGTTTACACGTATCGACAGCTCAAAGCAAACGTTACCGAGTAATGTAATGAAAGAATAACAGAAACAAAACTGTGAAAGAAAGCCCGAATCAACATATCAAAATCCAAGCTCAAAGGAGTAGACAGGGTGTTGGGAAATTCCGGAAACGATCAACAACAAGCGTCACAACATGACAGTTACAACGTGTGTGTAGCGTGATTGAGGCAGCACGAAAAGCGAAGGAAAATAATAAAGCGATAGATTATAACCGGATTTGTAACGTCGGTACAAGGTTAAAACATAAACGCAACAAACCACAAAGATAAAGACGTAATGAGCAATTGGACAAACACGTTGTCGGGTTGCTTTTTCACAATGATGCCTCGGACAGCTCGGCGATAGACCTTGAAACAAAACCTAAGCGTACTACACTTCCGAGATATAAAAGGGACCATCAGGCACAACGCGTCGTAGCCGCAAACGGAAGCTTAAGAGTTTTTAGCATGAATTTTCTAGAGGCCCTTTTTTGCGGGTTTGTGGCTTTGGCTCTAATCGAACATATTTCAATGGGGGCGCTACCAGCCTACGGGGAAGTGGAAGTCGTTGATGGTAAGGGAACATCGCTTCCTTCAGTTTGAGCATTGCGAGATCCAGCCAAATGGAGGTTATGAGGCTGAACTCTTAGTATAAAATAATGTCACAATTTTATTCCTTAGGAAAGAGAGGAACAAGGAGGGTAAAGGAGAAACAAAAATCTCGAAACACGACTAGGTTTGTCCCATTGTTGCCCTTCTCCAGACATTATTAGTGTTATTCTTGTCCAGCTCGTTTGCACCTTTGCAATATTTTTATTATCATAGCATAGGGTGTACATGGGAAATTTCTACATAGTGCGATCTTAATATGATGCAAAAATGGGCTTATTGTGTGTGTATTTATTATAGGATATACTGAGTAAAGATACTACCTCGAAATTTCTTACAAACACTAATCTATTGTGATGACAACCTTAATTTTGTTTTTACCTTTAACGTAGTTACAAAACAAAGCTATGTTTCTTAAAGATAACGTAATAATCTAAAGATAACGTCATAGGCCTCACTTTACAATTCATGTTGGCTACTTGAAAGCGTGAAGTCACGGTAGAAAGAATATTTGTTGACTACGGCTTTAATGGCGCAAAAGCTACCGAGGCCATATTGCTCCATGTGAGGGCGTAGAAAGAATAACGACGTTCTTTGTTCACTATAAGGTAGGTTTGGTTATTCTTCTTAGTTACAAAATTCGGAATCGTGATTTAAAAAAAAAAAGAGAAACTGGCAAATTTACCGCTTCCCAATGTCATTATAATCAAGAATCACTTAGCCTTCGTTGCACCTCACGAGGGATCGTGGGGGATACTACGAGCCATCAAAGCCAATCCAATCCAAAGCCGCTTGAGTATCACGTGACTTTCGTGTGGACGCGCTCAGTCAGGTGACATAAGTTCGCAGCAGGTGATAGCCTAGGATGACTCGTAGTATCTGCTCGGTTTCTCCTATATAATGTGGAGCGGTGTATGGTAGTGGCAGGAACTAATGACGCTATTCATGCTTTAACTAAGGTCTGTGTTGCCTCAAGTTGCTATTATTAAGCTACTTTCTAAACGTGGGAATAAGTAATCTCTACTTGCTCACAGCTTAAGTAAAGCATAGCACAGCGGATTATGTTGTCACTTCTCGATTTATTGTTCTGCTCGTTCTTATCGGCAGATACTGCAATTTCATTGGATGTGGAAGGATAATTGGATGTCTGAACTCGCTACGCCCCTTAGTTCTTGAGCTGGCCGCGATTATAATTAGGTTCTTTTTCCTCGGCTTTTCATTGGCACCAACTGACTAATGGCAATAATTTCATGGAAGAAAAAGAGTCTTGATCAATGTTTTAGCGAAATAGGCTCTTAAACACTGTAGGACAATAATTAAGCATGTGTCCGACCTGCCTTCGAGTGTCACATTAAAGGTTTATATAGACCAGATACATTGGAGTAGCGTTCGCTGTCGTCGGGAGCCGCCATCTCTTCTTCCCAGTGTTGACGCTAACCACTAGCAGCGCATTAGCGGTAACGCGCTAATTTTCGGTGACGCTGTGACGTAAACGCGCTTTATTTTCAAAAAAGTAACGTATAACGTACTTTTACGTAACGTATTTCCAGTAGCATGATTTCCTTATTCGTTACATCTTCAAAAAAAAAGATAGGCTTCATTTTTTGTGTTTTATGTTTTAACTCATGTTAATTCTTGCGCTCGTCTAACGCACCTTTAAAAGGTTGCCTCTTTTTCCGCACGCCAACACTCTCATTTTCTTTAAACACGACTCCTCTGCATACCCAGAACGCAAAAACAAATGAACGTTTCAATTAATAAATGAAAAGTACCGCAAAGGTAAGGTGCCTTACTCTTAATCAATATAACTTTAACTTTAACGATGAAATGCATTTTTGCATTTAATTGCATAAAAATCATAACCTTAGGGCATTCCATTCAGTTGGCAGAGACATTCGACACTCCCATCTCAGTAAAAAAAAAGTGTGAATCAAGCGGCTCCTGTTGTCATCAGTGTAGAAAGGATAAGGAAGTGCTTAGATGAACTTGATATTAAAAAAAGGCTCTTTATGTCCTGATGGTTTGTCGCCTAGAGTTGTAAAATTGTGCTCATTTGTTGTGTCTCGCTACTTTGAGATTATTTTTTTGTGTGTGAATCCGTCGAACAAAGTGTGCTCCCGCGTCAGTGGGAGGTGGCGTGCATTACACCAATCCTTAAGCATGGATCGAAACACAAAGCGGAGAATTATCGCCCCATCTCACTGAGCCGGATATGTTGTAAGACTTTAGAGCATATTATTTATAGCAATAGTGTCAGGCATTTTAATACAAATAGTTATTTCTCTTCTCCCCAACACGGTTTTAGAAAGGGCCTCTCATACGTCACACAGCTCGTAGAACTTTATCATGAGTTGGTTTCAACGGCTGAGGGAGGAGCTGAAACGCACGCTATCTGGTTTGATTTGAGCAAGGCTTTCGATAGAGTGTCTCACCCTTTGCTGCTACACAAACTGAGCTTTCTTAACCTTGATAGAAACGTATACCGTTGAATAGAACATAACCTCTCTGGGAGGAAGCAGTGTGTCGTCGTAAATGTAGCAGGCTCAGACTTTGTTGATGTTACCTCTGGCGTGCCGCAGGTGTCAGTGCTGGGACCTCATTTATTTCTTATTTTTAATAATAATATGTCATCGACCATTAACTCGTCCATGAAGCTGTTTGCGGACGAGTGTGTTTTATACAGCAGGGTTGACAGCGTTGGTGATTCGGTTTTTTTACAGTTGGATCTGAATAGAATATCGGATTGGTGCAGGATTTGGGAGTTAGGCTTCAATGTAGTTAAGCGTGTGCAAGTCATTTTTTGTGAGGAAACGTAACCCTGCCATTATCCTATATTATTGATTATCATAAATTAAATAATAACACGGATGTTAAATATTCAAGAATTATTGTCAGGCGTGCACACTTTTTGTTGTTGTTCATGTCACTGAAACTGCTAAAAAAGCCGGCCGAACTTCACATTTTCTTAGTCGAAATTTACGCGGTGCTCCACTGAAATTAAGGGACACAGCCTAGTGCTCTTTGGCGAGACAGACACATGTGTGTACGCGTGTGTTTCGTGGGATCCGAATAAAGCGTACCTTGCAGATAAGTTAGAGAAACTTCAAAACCGTGCGGCGAGATTTGTAACAGGAAAATATAGTAGAAACAATAGCGTTCCAAAGATTAAAAATCTACTTGGTTTAAAAACTTTTTTGTGAATGCGCAAAACTTTTCGATCGAGGTTCATCCTCGCAATTCTTAGCGATTTGGCAGGTATGCATACAAGCAAATATGTAGAATTGCCTAGCTATGATTTAAATTGTGTGGATCATTCCAGAAAGATAAGGGAAATTTTCTGTAGAACAGAATATTACAAGTTTTCATTTTTTCCACAAACTCACTTAGTGAAAGCTGTACTCGAGTCTTTTTTTTTATAATGACGACGTGAGACAATTTATACCAGGAAATGGCCTTTATTTTTTATGTTGTTTTCTATCTTTAACGTTTATATAAAACGTAATTTCGAAAACTTTTTTTTTATGAGTTCTACTGACGAGGATGAATTGTTTGCAGTTTTTAGAAACTTGAAAAACTCCAGGAGTCAAGACGTAGACGATCTTAACATCAAAGTGTTTAAGCATACTACATAGCGGTACCGGTGTTAACGCATATATTTAATCAATCATTTTCTTCCGGTGTTTTCCTAAAGCAATGCAGTGTGCTAAGGTTGTCGCTTTGTTTAAAGGTGGGGACAAGAATACGTTTAAGAACTACAGACCTAATTATCCTTTATCCAGTTTTTCTAAAAGTCTTGAGAAAATCATTCATACAAGACACTATATTTACCTAGAAAGGTTTTCAATAATTTCTAATAGCACGGTTTCCTAAAAACATCGCTTAACTGAATCAGCATTGTTAGTACAAAAGCAACGAATTATAGAATGTTTTGAGAATAAAGAACCCATCATGGGCGTATATATTGACTTCTTCAAAACGTTCGATTTAATTAATCTCAAAATTCTGTTCATGAAGCTAGAAAATTACGGTATAAGTCATATCTACAGTATCGTACGCAGTTCGTTAATAATAACAACTATATTTCAACCATTAAAAAAATTAGAACTGGTGTGCCTCAGGGTAGTGTGCTCGGGCCAACCTTGTTTATAATCTTCATAAATGACATTGAAAGTTGCGTACCGCATGCAAACCTTCTGTCTTATGCCGATGATATGACTATTTTTATTAAAGGCGGCTCAGCAGATTATATAGAATGGAAAACAATAGGAGTTCTTTCAAACATTGAGTTGTGGACTAAAGTAAATGGACTAAAAATAAATTCTGAAATGGCTAAATGTGTGCTATTTCGACCTCGAAGTAGACAAATATCTTATTCGTTTCAAATAGCCTTAGGCGCATCCACACTATAGGTGGTAAAGTCGGTTAAAACAGTGGGTGTACTTTTTACTGAATCAATATCATGCAATGAGCACGTTGAATATGTCCATGCAAAAACTAGTAAATCTATTGATCTCCCTTGTAGAAACCATTATGACTTTCCAGCAAGTGTAAAATTGCTTTTATTGGCTCATACTTACTCTGTATATTGTCATTTAGTTTGGGGCTAAAAAACAAAACATAACTTAACAACACTACTACTAACCCAAAAGAGGGCTATTCGAATTTTTTCAAATGTTTCTTTTCTGCATCCTTCCAAGGAACTCTTTTTCAAGCATCGTGTAATTCCTATTGAACAGCTGCACAAGTTTCGATTGTTGGTGACATAATGTAGCCTTAAAACGCAACAATACTTTTCTTTCATTTCTGCTCTGTCATGTTTAACTAAGTTAGATCATAAATACGTTACCCGCCATGGCGAGACCTGGTATGTTTCAACACCCCGTACTAATTAGGTTTTATATTATTAAAGTATGTGTTGCCATCTTTACTAAATGAACTTGAAGCAAATGATGTGTGTATATTTGGAAAATCAAATCGAATGTTAGCGGACATACTACTACAATCCCATTTTCTATATGATACCGTGTAGTGTCACGCATGTGTTTTGACATTGTTTCTATCTGAGTGACGGTGGCATATATCTTTTAGTTATCTTTCTATATAAACAAGTATAATGGTCAAAGTGGTGTGCTGGTGTGTATTTTGATTTTTTTCGGGGTCAAGTGTATTTTTATTTTACGCTGTTTTTCCGCCAAGGTGTGTATGGGAACTAGGGCCTCGTCAAGCTGCAGTAGCAGCCTTTTGCCTTCTTATCCACCTTTTTTTTTTTGTTTTTTCATAAAAAAAGGAAAATAAAAGATTAATATTATTATTATTATTATTAATATTATTATTATATACTATCTTCCTTGACAACCAAGGTATTCAAGTGTTCTGTTATTTTAGTTCTTTATTGAGCTTATTAACCCATGGGCTGTAACTGCTATAATGCCGAAGTTTCGGCGCTGCATGTTTTCTTTCGCAAATAAAAATATTAAAAAAACGAGTAACGTGTTTTGTTAGTTTTTTTGTTTTTGTTTTTTTCGGCAACGTCTACAACACTCCTTCATCCTCGTGTTTTGTTCCTAAAGGGGTATCCACACGAAGGAGAAATCCGCCCCCTTCTTCCGCGGAGTGCGCATCACGGGAGACATACGTCATCCCTTTTTGACTCTTCGCGACGCCGTTCTCCTCCGTGGCGGAGGCGCGGAGGCTTCGTACTGTCAGCACGAAAGCTCCGCAGGTGGGCGGCAGAGCCGAGGACGGTGTTTCCCGGGTTGTTGACTTCGCGACCTCCGTCCGCGCAGTTCTCCTTTGTGTGGATACCCTATAACCCGAAAACACGCGCTCGAGCTGTCGCCCGTTTTGTGTTCCGTTAATATTCCACAAATACATTCACACTCAAAGTCCTGTTGCTCCCATAGGAAAATGCAGGTACATGAATAGAACGGTCCAAGACGGTGAGGACATGCATCTCGAGGATCCCTGCCAAACGTTGAAATGCGAGGCCAAAAAGGGTTCATTCGCCATCCTGGGGTGAGTACTACAAGCGAAATATACTAAAAAACTTCGGCATAAACTACTTTAAAAAATAGCTACTTGCGTGTGCTTAGTCCCTTGAACGAGCATGTTAATATTTTCTGGAAACACGCTGAACTTCTCGCAAAAACACCAAAACATGGTTTGGGTGTTTTTGCCGTGCAAATTGCTTAATTATCGAAACAAAGTGTTTATATAGTGCACTTATTTTTTTCTTGTTCTATGCAGTGAAATATATTGTCGGAAATGCGCCAATTCGTGTAATATATTTTCTTAGTTCTATTTTATTTTTTTACTCATTTGTGTATTCATTAACTTATTGTTACTGTTTGTCTGTTTGTGTGATATTCGTTCATTTGCTATTTTAAGGATTATTGACGCTCACGTCTCTAACCCGTAAAAGCGCTGGCTGAACATAAGAGTGACCGCTTAACATGAAATACAACCCCGAAACATGTACTCGTGTCATTACTAAATACTTATTTGTGTAAACGACGACGATTTCAGTTAATTTATCTTCCAACTAATTTTTCTCAACTCCAGACGTAGCCTGTAGATAATTATACCGACTATCGCATTTGTACAAGCACTGCATCGCTGCATAAAGAAAACAATGTTATTTGTTCAAATATTCCAAGAATGTGGTTCTGCCTATGTTTTTCTCTCATAACTTTTTGTGTGTGCAAACTGGGCTGCCAAATATGCTGTCAAGACAATTATGTCGTTTTGCTTCTATTAAGTTTATAAATACCTGACGTTCAAATTATTTTGTATTTTTTAGCTGCGGTATTATGGCCAGCAAACCTGGCTGCAAGCTGGAGAAAGGCACCGGAGTCTTCCCACAATGCTGCTACAAATCTGTTTGCTCCAAAACAAATTAAAAGCGCAGTTTCGTTTAAGGTGATATAAAAAAAAGCCATTTGTTTAAGCGTGCGACAAATAAAGCAAACTTCTGCCGCACTTTTTCTGAATTTTTATGTAATTTTTTTTAATAAAATACATTGTAATAAAACCAGCCGTTAAAAAAAACGCAAATGTAATGCAGTTTTATACTTATGCTCATCATACCCTGTTTTTGTAACGAAACCAAGAAAATTTAAAGTCGCTGACCGTGTTGCTTGCTTGCTGGTTCAAGATTGCAAGCTGGCCCGCAGAAATGAGAGTGCATTGACTTGAATACTGCTGTCCAACATTAATAAGTCCTTCCATGTTAATAAGCTCACACAATAAACAATTTGAATAACTAATTAATTAGCTATTTATTTAGATTGGAAGCTTCACGTGACTGTTTCTTTTCAACGGTCTTTTAGGATGCACGCCTGGAAAAAAGGTTGATAAATTAAACAAAATTCAACGAAAATATAAATTAAGATTCGTCAGGTGAACTTTCAAACTAGGGGGTTTCAGCAACGGTCCATTTAAGTTGAAAACGTCTTCTATAAAACAACTCGGAAAGAGCGTTTAGCCGAGATCTGTCGCGTATTATGACTATAGTCACTAAAAACTTAAGAACCGAAGGGTGTGGCGAATGCACAGCTTCACCTTATCTCCCCTCACCCAACATACTACGGCATTCGTAGGTAGGAAGAGCGAAGCACCAATCACGAAACAAGAAGCTTAACGAACACGAGCCACGCCCTACCTTTAAGCCGTCAATCAATACAGACTCACGAAAGGTGAGATAATGTGCGGGACGCGGTAAGCGCCGAGCATGTAAAACATGGACGCTTAGAAAGGTTAATTTGCTATAAGGAGCTTCGCATTTTGTTATGAAAATCACAAAACACAAACTTAATGTTCTGCGTTTGCCCATCGATGGGACTTCGAATGTAAATGGACTCGCGAGTGCTGATTTTCAGAGGCAAAACTAAACAAAAAACAACGCATGAGATTTTGCATCCTAACAATTGATGTCATCACACGCGTTTCGAAAAAAAAAAGCTTGTTCGAAAAAACAATTGCACATTCATTTTTCGTCGTTACTGACACATTAGGAATGGAGCACTGAATTTCAAACCAAAAACCAACAACAAAAAGTTTGTTTAGAGCGAAATCTAGGCCTCTCTGAAACAAAAGCTAAAAGACGTCATCCTTAACCATAAAACGTGCCAATTACTTCCAATGGCACCGCTGCCCTATCCAGTTACAGCACTAAAACAAATACAAACAGAAATTGACTCAGCAGCCGGTATCCTACCCACCAACATCAAAGTATGGGTAGCAGGAACTACGGCAAGCGTGCACTTCCATGCAAATGCCACGTTTATGAAATACAATAGCCGTGAAAGCCTGTGCCTGCTGTCAACGGTAATGCAATAGGGATGCTTAGAAGACCGGGAGGTATCAGAAACACTTTGCCAATCATTGTGCCGTTTGAACGAGTGTGACGGAGTCCAAAGAGAGCTGCGCATCATCGTAATGAAGTCCACCACGGCGCTGCTCTGGGCTCTGGTGATCTTCCTTCTATCGCCCGACAAGTCAAAATGCTTCAGAGCAATTGGACTAGCCGCTGTTTTGAACGGTACGTACAACTTGTTCCTCTTTTGTTTTAGAAAGCAAACGCAGCACGACTTTTGATACGAGGCACCCAATGTGCGACGTCCTGCACGGAATTTATGAAACACAAATGTCGGACACGAAGTTGACATTTAAGTGTTGGGATAATTAGGTAAATGTCTTTCTTCATTAATTGCACACCTAAGGATCTATGGCACGTTCTCGTTCCCAAAGACTGCATCTAAAGTTAATTATAATTAATACTTACCAAACAGAATGCTCAGACAATACATGGCTTGCATTGACGTCACATCTGCCGCCATTGCTCCGGACCATGTTCCGGGGCCCGTATCTTCTGCACCATACACTTGCCACCATCCAATTTCTTCTTCTCTGCAAGCCTTGTCGAGACGAACGAATTCGATAATGCAAAATGTATGCTGCAGAACGTACGAGCACGGGAATGGTACACAGCAATGGCGGCTGGTACAGTGTCATATGACGCCACGCGCAAGGCATGTATATGTTCGCTTGCAAACATTCATCAGCTTAGCATTAACTTTCACCCCATCTAGAAAGCATTCATGTAGCTGATAGACATGTTGCAATGACTGCCATAAACTGTGTGCATACGCAGTTCAAAAAGTCGTCGTTCCAAAAAATGATGTCTCTCGTGGGGACAACCAAGCGTAACGTCGCATTCTAAACATCGTAGAGTGGCGTTCAAGGGCTCAGATTTCTACAGGAAGATAACATTTCTGAGTTCCTGATCGTGGTTTCAACGTTCTTGTCGCCTCACACCATTTGCTCATTGGTTCCGAGGTGATAATGTAATTCTTGAGGCTCGCCTCGCCCCGCCTTTCTTAAGCTGTCGGTGAGCGCATATGTCGCCTGTGAACTACAATGAATGGCTTTTCGCATACTTTGCAAGAAAGTTGCCGCGCGGGCATTATTTAAAAAAGATGGCTATAGTCATTGACAACTTAATAAACTCGAAGGATTCGAGTTCTTAGGCTCACTGCATGACACTGTAGCCAATAAGTTTTGAGTATTAGCCTCTAAAAAGTCCTCAGAACTAATTAGAAGGCTAGAAGTGAGAACATAATATAGGCCATAGAAACTTCTAGGGTAAAGTGCGATGTAGTAAAACTTAATTGCTGCTTGTTTTTAGCCGCTAGCGATTATTCTGCCGTAACCAGAAAGTCGCGAGTGAACCAATATTCCTCGTTTCTCGAGCAGGCAAGTGCAAGTACAGAGGCGTCCTGATCGAAGATGGCCGAACAGTGAGGGGTGAGCACCCGTGCGAATCGTGGAGGTGCGTCGCCAGGTCACGAACTGTCATCATTCATGGGTGTGTGACTTCACTAAACGAGTAGAAGCAGAGGGAGAGGAGGAAACGACAGCGCGCGGGGGCGTCAAAACACCCAGCTCTGGCTAGAATGATCAATGGGGAGACGCAAAGCAAGTTGCCTTTGTCTCCAACGCACAGTTCGAACAACAAACATCTGCGTCAGGCGTTCGGCGTTCGTGCTCGAACGCGTTTCGAAGAATAAGTATAAACAAAGCCAGCTATAGCTTTAATTGCGTCGATTCACTAATCACTACAACCAGAGCTCGGAGTTGTGACGTACCAGCTTACTCTTGTCTCCTCCAAAACCCTCAATTTCGATTACGTATTGAATTCGGCTGAGGTGTCGTTTGGTCGAAGGCTCAGTTCGGCCACAAGTTCTAAATCGCCTAAGTGCTCAATTTGGCTAAACAAAAACTCTAATTCGGCTGGAGGGCGATTCCACGTCAATTCATGCAATGATGGTCCGGGTCATATTTTAGATATTTTTATTAAAAATATATATGAAAGCCATGTTTTTGGGAGGAACATTCAGCTAGATATGAACGCCGTAACCATTTTTTTCGCTGAGATATAAAATAGAGAAGCTTGAGGCGTGGAAATTTAGAAGATTTCACAATACTAATTTGCACAGTCGTCATTTCCTTATCGAACCTTTCACGGCACCATAACTTTTTTAATAGGTTTTACAAAGGTTATACAACACTACATAAAAAATTAGAAATATCCATAAAATATTTCAATGCAAACAAAAATATCAAACATGGCACAAAAACGCGTTTTAGAGACTTATTCACAATTTTGTTGCAAATAAACCATCTTTCATAATACTTCACAAAACATATCAAAATGCGCGTATTTAAATATTCTTTACGAATATATAAAAATAATATGCCCACCCGTAAACATATTTTTGTTATCAACGCGGAAATTCGGCTGATTTCTCAAAATGTGGCAAGATTGGGCGTCGATATTTAAAAAAACTCCATCTTTTATTTTCTTTAAACTCCCCTTGGCACTTTGCAGTGACTTGAACTAACCTGTGATGGCAAAAGATTGAGTAACATATGACCTTCAAGCGGGAAAAGCTACGACAAACCTTCACTCGGAGTGAGCCGACGCCTTTGTCATAGCGGCTTTGCCGCACAGCACCAAACGTTTTGAGCGTTAGTTGTGGCATGAATTTTATATTATTAAAATTCTTTTTTTCATAAGGGCTGAGTATTAGTGACGTGAAAATGGACTTTGAGCTGGAATACCATTAATTAGCTTACAATTCACAGGAACAAAACGGCCCCACTGTGCGAATTCGCTAACTATGCATAGATAAGCTTAAAACTCTCAGTTATGCGAGTGGCCATGTATACATCCAGCCTCTCGGCATATGATGACTTCCACAGATGAGAAGCCTGGATTCCTCTCACAGGTTTTATGGTGGTCCACTCTGCTTGCTTTACCGCACGAAACTCTCGAACCCGTTCCACAGACAGGTGGAACATGCAGACATTTGTTACTTTTTTACGTAGCACTTCCACAAAGTCTTTAGCGGTGGCAATCGTTGAGTTGAGTGAAGATCTCAACTTGGTAGCGTTGGTTCTTCCACCTACTTCATCACAAGCGCTTTCTCCGTGTCCAGTGGCTGAAAAGATCCATCTTGCCGAAGAGTGCGGCTTCCGAGACAATTCGTGGAATTGGAAGCGATTCTTGAAATGCGCCGCCGCTCCGTCTGATACAAAAATTATTTTAAAAAAAGACTGGGAAATGAACATTAACATACTCTTTTATGGCCTATGTGGCTAGAAGAGCGTGAGCTGTGTCGTGTGTCGTGTACCATCGGTGACAACGGCAAAGCTTTGCGTGCCTTGCGTGGACGTAACCACACTTGTGGAGAGAGACACTTGAGTTTTTTTTCAATGAAAACTCTGCACTTCGGTTGGAAAGAGTAGTGTCCATTTTTCCGCAAAATCGAAGTGGAACATCACTGCCTTGGGTGGTAAGGCGGTTCTTGTGTCATGTATCAGGCTTCGTTCAAGGTCAAGGATGTAAGAATGCCTCATATACTTTTCGCTCTCCTATTGCCGCA